CCTTTTTTAAACATTCTGTCAAAAAATAAAGGTTTTTTGTCAATTAGTATATTTGAATTTAACCACAATATTTGTTGCATTATTTGTTCTGTCGTTTCTGGAGGATTAAATTGAAATTGCAACCAACTTTCTATGGCTTGTTTTAGAATAGGACATTTGGGAGATTATTTCCTTTTCAAATAACTGAAAGTGAGAGGTTGTAATCTGAATAAAGGGAAAAAAGGCCTTTCTTGAACATTGGGTGAGACAATCTTACTAATTTGCTTGAGAACCAGTTCGGATTTAAGTATAACATTTGTATGACTGAAGCTTTTAGTGATAGGTCTAATGCTTTAATATTTAATAATTTATGTCCTCCGAATTCATATTCATTATATAAATATGCTCTTTTAATTTTGTCTGGCTTGCCGTTCCAAATAAAATTGAATATTTTTTTCTCATATAATTTAAAAAACTGTTCGCTAGGCGTAGGCAAGACCATAAGCAAATAGGTAAACTGGGATAATACTAAAGAGTTAATCAGGGTGATTTTTCCACAAATTGACAGGTATTTTCCTTTCCATGGTAGTAAGATCTTATCTATTTTTGCTAACTTTCTATTAAAATTTATTGAAGTGAGATCATTTATTTCCTTTGGGATATGTATTCTGAGTATATCCACATCACCATCAGACCATTTTATTGGTAAACTACATGGTAATGTAAAAATTGTATTTTTTAGTGATCCAATACGTAATATAGTACATTTGTCATAATTTGGTTGTAATCCAGAGAGGTTAGAAAATGTATCTAGATCCTCTATGAGGCTGTGGAGGGATTCTAGTTGTGGATTTCAAAGAAAACATGAATCATCAGCGTACAATGACACCTTTGTTTTTAAGCCCTGTATTTCTAATCCTCTGATATTATTATTGGATCTGATTTTAATAGCTAACATCTCGATGGCCACAATAAATAGATTGGTTTCCATATGTTTGATGTGTTTGATACCATTCCATTTATTTCATTCCAGCCATTACAAATGAGCCCATCCTCCTATAGCTCCTCCTACCAGCCTCCTCTGGGACATTGGCATAGAAACAGTTCAATATTGTCAAAATGTTGTGAACTATTATGTGACAGTGATGTTGATTGGTATTATTTTCTGTTGATAGTAGGTACCAGCTTCAGATCACCATGGCAACCTCACCATCCCTCTCAACTCCACTAATGGGCCCCTTCTCTCACTTCTACTGTATCTACCACAGACACACTGTCAGTCAATCAACATTCACTTCTCTGTCAGAGGGAAAAGTTGCAGAACCTTATAGTAGTCTGGGTTGATTTTTGTCAGTTGGTTGATCTAAATCTCTTGCAAGGATGAACAATAATATCCTACTATGTTCTACCATGTATATAAAACTAAATGACCAAATGTGGCAGTATTTCCTGCCACAATAGTCGACTACCTTTCAGGCAGTCCTTTGTGCTCGTCCCATCCACTACGCTCACGGCATAATCTCCATCTCCGATCATCGCTGTCCCTTTAATTGTCCCCACCGCGGTGGGAGAGAGTTTGCGCGTGCTTGTGGCCAGACAGCAGGAGAGGTCGAGAGAATGCTGGGACTGTGGAGCTCGCGCCAAGGGGCTTGGACACGAGCTGGGCTTTCCGGTGATGGAGAAGGGCCGGTCTGTTGACGGGTAAGAGAGCGACCGAGGCTGCTTTTACGAACACCAGCGCTGGCGTCTTGATTTTAGGGCAGCTTTGTTGTTTTTTTATGATTCAAAATGCGTTGTTTTTGTTACTGAGAGGCTTAATTCTTATGTAATGTAGAGATACATACAGCCACGGATAGGAGAAGTAGCTTAATCCCCCTACCCGTGGTCGCACATAGTTTCTACCCTACAGGATCTGACACGGGCTGGGTGGAATACATCTATCACCGTGACTGTCTCATTAGGCCTAAGTGTTTCCACTTCTGAAGGGATATCATACAGGTTGTTGGATTGAGAGTCTCCCCTACATCCCTATCATCAGGCACCACCCAGCATCAGGCCAAGCATGTTGTAAAATAAACTGTAGCAGTTTCCCCCGCGCTACTGCTGTGGCCAACTCAGAAACGGCAAATGAGTGATTCTGTGGAGTGGGGTTTACCAAAGCTATGTGTAGCTGCAGAACTTTGGGAATATTGTGATTTTCTTTTGGATCGATATAGGAAGTGATTTCAACATCTTCCAGTCCATCAAGCCAACGTGATTTAAATTTGACTGACATGTTATGGTGCGTAAACTTCATCCGAGCTGGGTAGAATTGACGCACAAGCGCCGAAAAAAATATTATCCCCAGTATTGGGAAGGGGATTTCATAGTTTTTCTTCAATATGATGTCCTTTTTGATGTTGCGGATCACATTAGGTTCTAACAGGTTTATTTACGATACTTTAGCACAAAGCTAACCTTTGAATGTTTGATTTTTTCAAAGACAATTGATTCACTCCTGTTGCGTGCGTCATTGCATGTAGTCTAGGCCAACTCTATCGAATAAATGTATTCAAATGTAATATTGAGTTCTATGATACTGGTTTATGATCATAATATTATTTAGGGTCGATTGCTGTCAGATAGCGTTTATTGTCTCTCATCCATTGACAGAGAACGGATTGACAACTCGGTAGATTGACACATATCTAAACCAATGGTGTAGCCGTAGATGACCTCAACGCCCAATCTTCTTAGATAAGAGGAGGGATTTCTGGCACGGATTTGCATAGTATCCGCTTCCCAGGCAGTCCTTTTCAGGGGAAAAACGCGAAAACCGTCTTTAGATCAGTGTCAAAGCGGAAGCAGCTGAGCTGGTTGTGTGAGGGCGCTTTCAACCGTGCTGAAACGCCCAGTGTTTCGCTGCCTAAACGGACAGTAGGACCTGGGGGATGTTGGTAGGCTTCAGTTGTGTAAAAATACTTTTAAATATTTAAGTAGTTTTTTTTGGGATATCTGTATTTTACTATTTATATTTTTGACTACTTTTACTTCACTACATTCCTTAAGAAAATATTGTACTATTACTCCATACACTTTCCTTGACACCCAAAAGTACTCGTTATATTTTGAATGCTTAGCAGGACAGGAAACTGGTCCAATTCACACACTTATCAAGAGAACATCCCTGGTCATCCCTACTGCCTCTGATCTGGCGGACTCACTAAACACACATTCTTCGTTTGTAAATGATGTCTGCATGTTGGAGTGTGCCCAAGGCTATCCCTAAATTATATATATATATATTTTTTTTATGGTGCCGTTTGGTTTGGAATTGGAAATGATTTATACTTTTACTTTTGATACTTAAGTATATTTTAGCAATTACATTTACTTTTGATACTTAAGTATATTTTAAACCAAATACTTTTAGACTTTTACTCGACTAGAATTTAACAAGGTATCTTTACTTTTACTCCAGTATTACAATTGGGTACTTTTTCCACCACTGGTAGCCTACTTGTTATGTTAGCAGCTGTTTTTTTTTAAATTTTCTCTCTCAATGCTAAATATTTTCTTGGCGGAATAGAGAAAGGAACATACTTCAAAACTGTAACTTTCACTCCACCCACAAGGCAAAACATCTTTCAAATGTTCTCTCTCATCCCTTACCCTGTCTCAATCTCTCTCTCCCTCTCTCATTTCCTTTTTCCTCTGTCTCCATCTCTCTCTCTCTCTCTCTCTCTCTCTCATTTCCTTTTTCCTCTGTCTCAATCTCTCTCTCTCTCTCCCTCTCTCATTTCCTTTTTCCTCTGTCTCAATCTCTCTCTCTCTCTCTCCCTCTCTCATTTCCTTTTTCCTCTGTCTCAATCTCTCTCTCCCTCTCCTCTCTCATTTCCTTTTTCCTCTGTCTCAATCTCTCTCTCTCTCTCTCTGCCCTCTCTCATTTCCTTTTTCCTCTGTCTCAATCTCTCCTCTCTTCTCTCTCCCTCTCTCATTCCCTTTTCCTCTGTCTCAATCTCTCCTCTCTCCTCCCTCTTCCTTTCTCGTCCATCTCTCTCCCCTATTTCATTTCTTTTCCCATCCTCTCTCTTCTCCCTCCCCATCTTTCCTCTTCTCATCTCTTCTATTCTCTCCTTCTCTCTCATCCTCTTCTTCCTCTTCTGTCTTCCATCTCCTCTCATCTCTCTCTCTCTCTCCTCATTTCATTTCCTTTCTCGTCTCATCTCTCTCTCTCTCTCTCCTCTTTCTCGTCTCCATCTCCTCTCCCAGTATCGTCTCTCTCTCATCAGTCATCTCATCCTCCTCCTCTCATATCTGCTGCGACTACTCCTCTCTCTCTCTCCGTCTCTGCTCTCTCTCCTACTCCGTCTACTCTCCTGCTCTCTCGCTCATCTCTCTCTCCTCTCTCTCTCTCTTCCTCTCACTCTCTCTCCTCTCTCTCTCTCTCTCTCTCTCCCAGTTTATCCACTCCTCTACCTCTTTCTCTCTCCCTCTCTCTCTGTCTCCGCATCTCCCCTCATTCTCTGTCTCTCTATGTGATTAGACAGTGTGTTTGTGTGTGTGTGTGGGTGTAATGAGGGGTTGCCTAGACATAGAGAAAGCTTTTCAGTATATAGTAGAGACCCACTCCCACTCTGAACCCAATATCTCAGGATTCCTGCCAGCTTAGACCTGTCTAAGATCTCACTTCTCAATCGAAATAGCACTGTTCTCGGAGGGGTGATATTGTCTGTGCTGGTGTGATTTTGTTGTATTGGCTCTGTGCCTTTTCTCTACCTCTTTCCATCAATTTTTATTTCCCTCCCTCCTGCTCTCTTTCACAGTATCCATGGTACCCTCCAGTGTTGCAGTGAGCTCCAGAACAGTGACCAGCCTGTATGAGAGATCAGCAGCCTGCTGTAGTGGAACTGGGACTGTCTAGAACCACCAGTGACAGAGATGAATGGCAGTGAGTAAAACAAATCCAAAGACATAAGGAGCACCGAGGACAAGAAAGACGCCACCTCGTTACATACTTGTTTTTATTTCTGGCCATGTAGCTGCCGTGTTTCTACATTAAAACCCAGCCGTCATCAGAGCAGGATGCATGGCAGTGCCAAGAGCACCGGGCACGGAGAGGGCAGCTCCGCACGATCAACAAAGTTACAGAAGAACCCGAAGCAGGGTTACCGTAAACTGGGCGTGGCTAGTGGGTCAGGGGCAAAGTCAGCTGGGACAGGGTCAGGGGGTAAAACCTTGTCTATGGAGAACATCCAGTCCCTGAATGCAGCCTACGCCACCTCCGGCCCCATGTACCTGAGTGACCGCGATGCCTTGGCCTCCTCCGGTGGCTACCCTAAAGGAACCATGACTCTGGGCCGAGCCACCAGCAGGACTTCCTACACGGGCCGGGCCACAGCCATGGGCAGCAGCCCCAACATCACCACCACATCAGATGGCCAGGACTACGGGGACCAGAGCCACACCCAGCACCTCCAGACAGGGGGGCCCTCAGGGCTGCTGAGGCAGGCTGGACGGGGTGGAGGAGGAGGGGGAGAGGACATCCAGGCTCAGCTTAGGGAGCTGCAGAGAGAGAATGAACTGCTGAGGAGAGAGATGGACGGAGGGAGGGATGGGAGGGTGGGGAGGGATGGGAGAGAAGGGAGGATGAGCTCTTCTGTCAACAGTGGAAAGCACTTCTGGAGCCCGGAGGTGAAGAGTCGAGACAGAGGGATGAGGAAAGAGGAGGGAGCCCTTACGTCCATCCTGAAGGAACAGAAGTGGGCCTCTCCAGAGGAGGACCAGGTGAGAATAACTGGGGGAGGGAGGGGGCTTGATAAAGGCCCATGATGGTCTTAACATGGGGACATAGCATCCGCACTGTCTGCCTGGAGGTTTCTGTGTAGAAATGAATAACTTATCCCTATGGGTTTCTGGGTGGTTTTTAGACGGATATATAAAGACTATGCTAGACATGACACTCTCACTCTGTGTTACCATGGGAACGTGCCCAACGGCTGGCATTCTAGGTGGCAGCTATAAAAAGTCAGTTATCTGTGAAATTAGAATGAATGGGGGAAGGGGTTCTATAGACCGCTCTTGAGGTCTGTGTAAAATCTGTCTGTCTTCTCTCACTTTCACCCCCTCTTTCCTTCTCCCTTTCACTCTGTCCTTATCACAGAGGTTTGTTTTATTTGGCTTAGCTACTTCTCTCTCACACAGCTGGGAAGCCTGCCCTGCATCAATGTTTACCTCTGTCTCACACTGTTACACTAACTGCCCATAGAGAGTCCACTGGGCTTTTACAATGACACACACACACACACACACACACACACACACACACACACACACACACACACACACACCACACACTCACATACTGTTTTTACTCATCTCACTCAGATAAAGAACAGAGAAACATTGACCCTTTTGTATTTTCATTCATAGTGACTCTGAATACAGCCCCATTCTACAGACAGCTTCCTTAGTGGTTATAAGCCTTGCTGCTTTGTTGAACTAATCCTACCCACAAGATTTTCAATATATTCACTTACTGTACATTAATAATAACTACTCTGATGCCATAGCTAGCATATACTGTACACCGTACCCTACACATTCTCCTGAAGACATGTCCTAACATAACCTGATAGGGGTGGGGGTCGGGGAGAGGGGTCAGGGGGATTGAGGTTGAGACAGTGAGTTTTTTTCTACAACCTTCCTTTTTATTAGTGTGGTTCTTTGTACAGTCCTTAGGGTGGATGGATACCACTAGGCATGATCCAAACATCATCATTGTTTGTATTCCGAACACAGCAGCTTGGCTAATAAGGCAAAACAAAAACGTAGCGTGAAATAAGTGCTCTGTGTTTAGAAGATTATGGTCTTGGGCTGAGGGTTGCTGGGTGTTTGTTTGCTAATGGGGTCTATTGGAGCAGTGTGTGTGCTGTGTGTAGGGAAAGGGGGATACCTAGTCAGTTGTACAACTAAATGCATTCAACTGAAATGTGTCTTCCGCATTTAACCCAACCCCTCTGAATCAGAGAGGTGTGGTGGGCTGCCTTAATCGACATCCACATCATCGGCGTCCGGGGAACAGTGGGTTAACTGCCTTCCTCAGGGGCAGAACTACAGATTTTTACCTTGTCAGCTCGGGGATTTGATCCAGCAACCTTTCGGTTACTGGCCCAAAGCTCCTACCCAGCAGGTTACCTGTACATGATGACAGATTACATAGCTGTTCTTTAGCAGAAATGATAAATATCAGTAGACCGGAATATTGGTGATATTGAGGTTTTGGTGTTCTGCAGTCAGTACAATCCTCTTTAACAAACACACACTGTAGGATCAATACACTCTAATTGAGGAGGCCAGACCGCGGTTGCACCCTTTATTGATTCCTCTCTAAACTTGTACCACACTTACCTCGCCCCTCTGATTTAACTTTTAGTTTCTAGTAATATCTTATCGTCACGACTGAAGCCACTATTATCGATTGTCTGCCAACGTTTCTCTGCCCTCTCCCTCTCTCATCCCCTTCCTCCCTCCTCTCTTTTACCCCTTCCTTTCTCTCCTCTCCTTCTCTCCATTCGTGTTACTTCTCCCCCCTCTCTGTATTCTCCTTCCCTACTTCCCTCCTCTCTGGAGACAGTCAGAGGGAGTCCGGTTGTGAGACAGGGAAATATTAGCATTAAAAAGGTCACCTTTTCCTTCATTCAATTGACAACAAGACTTGTTTTTCACCTTATGTTTGTCTATGTGTATGATTGTGTGAATGTGTGCGTCTTGTGTGTGTGTGTTGGTGTGTGTGTGTACTCTGTGTGTGGGTTGGTTCTGCTCAAGTATTCAGTGTCAACTTTACGTTCTAACATCTCCTACTACACCCCATCGCTGTGTGTGTCTGTGTTGTTGGTGTTCCTCGTTCTATGATGGGAGGAATGTTCCAACTGACGGCGTTCAGGGAGTTTGAGCTTCCTGCATAGCTGAAAGTATTTATTTTGTTCATTCTTGTAGGCTTTGTATTTGATAGTTTTTTATTTGCTTTTGTATTTGTGTGAAAACTGTGTTTTCGGGTCTGTAACAAGTAGCTGTTGTTGCCATGGCTTCTAGCGAGCCTGTACTTCTCTGTTTTTCACCAGTAAAGCTAAGATGTGACAGTTTGAACTCAGTAAAGCTAAGATGTGACAGTTTGAACTCAGTAAAGCTAAGGGTTGTTAAGTTCAACTGACCCTTGTGGCTACAGAGCCATCATCCTTCCTGTTAGTGGTGTCACCCTGTCTGGCCCTGTGTTCTGTCTTTATGAGTGGAAGTGTCGCCATCTACTGGAGTGTGTTAACATTGCATTTATGTGTGAATAATGACAGAGATTAAATCCACTCTAACATGCTATAGTAGAGCATTCAAGATATGCAGATGCTTACCTTTTGATTATAAATGTAATGATTGTATACTTTAGCTAAAAGTGCTTAATTTAGCCCGCAGGGAGCAAGTCTGTTCTGTTTGATTTTGCTTTTACTTTTTAAAACATAGTTTATTTTGTTTATTTTTTATTTTTAACTTCACCATATCATGCTGCAGGTTTGGGAACCTAGAAGAAACAAGGTGTGTCCTGAGTTTGCCCCTATCCTTTTGTGTTCAGCCATGTGTGTGTGTCATTGTCCTCCTTGTGTGTCTGCGTCTTCCCTGTGTGTCTCTTCTTTTTAATGGCTCACCTCTCTCTCTCTCTCTCTCTCTCTCTCTCTCTCTCTCTCTCTCTCTCTCAGCACCTCCAGTTGTCAGTGCATGGGCTACAGGAAGAGCTGAGAAGCCATAGAGAGATGAACAGTCGTCTGCAGCAAGAGAACTCGGGGTCTCACACAAACATCTCCACTCACACCGGCTCGAACCGAGACCTCCATATCGAGGACCACCGGGCAGGCATCAGCCCTGGACACAGCCCTGGTCTGGGCCCCAGTCACCTCCACAGCCCTGGGCAAAGACACAGCCTTGGCCCTGGCCTAGGAGCCAGCCCCAGACACAGCCCCAATAACACCTACAACCCTGGGTCCAGAAACAGCCCTGTCCATCCCCACAGCCCTGGATATAACTCTGGGCCTGGCCCCAGACACAGCCCTGGATATAACTCTGGGCCTGGCCCCAGACACAGCCCTGCTAACACCCTCATCCTCGGGCCTAGAAACAGCCCCAGCCACCTCATCCACAGCCCTGGCCGTTGCCTCAGCCCTCCCAGCAGCCCCTGCATGGTCCCTGGGTGCGATGGCTTCTCCTCTCCCCCTCCCCTGGATCTGACGGAGGAGAACTTCATCCGGCTGCAGTCGGATCACGAGCGTCAGGGCAAGGAGCTGTACCTGCTGAGGAAGACCCTGGAAGAGATGGAGCTGAGGATTGACTCCCAGAAACAGACGCTGGGGGCCAGGGACCAGTCCATCCAGAGGCTGCTGGAGATGATCCAGGGAGGAGGGAGGGGCCAGAGAGGCGAGAGGTCAGAGATAATCACCATGGCAACGGCACGTGAGGAGGCAGAGTCCCAGCTGGGTCGTCTGGAGGAGCAGCTGGACCAGAGGGAGAAAGAGAACCTGCATCTGAGAGAGGTGTGTGTGTGTGTGTGTGTTTCTTTGTGTTTTTCACTATAGCTCAGGGGATCCTAAACTTTTGACCCCATTTTGATATATGAAAATTCTCGCCACCCCAACCATGTGAAAAAAAGTATGTAATTACAGCCAATGTTTATTTATTTTTATTTGGGGCTATGGCAGTCAATTCAAAAACATTTTTAACAGTATTTCTGATTGTCTTCTCAACTCACCATCACATACTTTTAATGTTGGGCTATGTAAGTCAATTGCACATTAGTCTGACATAATGCATCTTATCTCACCACCACTAATGAGATGCGTGTGCTTGATGCATGTCGCGTCGGAGCTTCTCAAAGTCAGGGTGTGTGGTCAACAGTGCACACCTCATCTCTGCTGTCACATCCAACCTGGATCGATATTTGGTTTTAATGCAGACGAGAGTGCAGCTTCACGCATACAGTACCAGTCAAAAGTTTGGACACACCTACTAATTCAAGGGTTTTTCTTTATTTTTACTATTTTCTACATTGTAGAATAATAGTGAAGACATCAAAACTATGAAATAACACATATGGAATCATGTAGTAACCAAAAAAGTGTTAAACAAGTCCAAATATATTTTATATTTGAGATTCTTCAAAGTAGCCACCCTTTGCCTTGATGACAGCTTTTCACACTCTTGGCATTCTCTCAACCAGCTTCACCTGGAATGCTTTTCCAACAGTCTTGAAGGAGTTCCCACATATGCTGAGCACTTGTTGGCTGCTTTTCCTTCACTCTGCAGTCCAACTCATCCCAAACCATCTCAATTGGGTTGAGTTCGGGGGATTGTGGAGGCCAGGTCATCTGATGCAGCACTCCATCACTCTCCTTATTGGTCAAATAGCCCTTACACAGCCTGGAGGTGTGTTTGGGTCATTGTCCTGTTGAAAAACAAATGATAGGCCCACTAAGCCCAAACCAGATGGAATGGCGTATCGCTGCAGAATGCTGTGGTAGTCATGCTGGTTAAGTGTGCCTTGAATTCTAAATAAATCACAGACAGTGTCACCAGCAAAGCACCATCACACTTCCTTTTCCATGCTTCACGGTGGGAACCACACATGCGGATATCATCCGTTCACCTACTCTGCGTCTCACAAAGACACGGTGGTCGGAACCAAAAACCTAATATTTGGACTCATCAGTCCAAAGGACAGATTTTCACCGGTCTAATGTCCATTGCTCATGTTTCTTGGCCCAAGCAAGTCTCTTCTTCTTATTGGTGTCCTTTAGTGGTTTCTTTGCAGCAATTCGACCATGAAGGCGTGATTCACAGTATCCTCTGAACAGTTGATGCTGAGATGTGTCTGTTACTTGAACTCTGTGAAGCATTTATTTGGGCTGCAGTTTCTGAGGCTGGTAACTCTAATGAACTTATCCTCTGCAGCAAAGGTAACTCTGGGTCTTCCTTTCCTGTGGCGGTCCTCATGAGAGCCAGTTTCATCATAGCGCTTGATGGTTTTTGCGACTGCACTTGAAGAAACGTTCAGTTCTTGACATTTTCCGGATTGACTGACCTTCATTTTTTAAAGTAATGATGGACTGTCGTTTCTCTTTGCTTATTTGAGCTGTTCATGCCATAATATGGACTTGGTCTTGTACCAAATAGGGCTATCTTCTGTATACCAACCCTACCTTGTCACAACACAACTGATTGGCTCAAACGCATTAAGAAGGAAAGAAATTCCACAAATTAACTTTTAAGAATGCACACCTGTTAATTGAAATGCATTCCAGGTGACTACCTCATAAAGCTGGTTGAGGGAATGCCAAGAGTGTGCAAAGCTGTCATCAAGGCAAAGGGTGGCTACATTGAAGAATCTAAAATATATTTTGATTTGTTTTAACACTTTTTTGGTTACTACATGATTCCATATGTGTAATTTCATAGTTTTGATGTCTTCACTATTATTCTACAATGTAAAAATAAAGAAAAACCCTTGAATGAGTAGGCGTTTCCAAACTTTTGACTGGTAGTGTATATACAGGATGAATGTGTGTAGGATTAGGAAATTCTCCCGCGACCCCATTTTCATATCAGGAACCCCTAGTTTGGGAACCGCTGCTATAGCTCTTTACTGTATGGCTCTCTGATAGTTTTGACTCATTTCCATGACCTACTGGACATTTATATAAATTACACCCTATCATTTACCACAGACTGATGTCAATGAATTATAGACGCAACGATAGTCGCGGATATATTGGTTTTGGTTGAAGCTCATTGTTAAATTCAAATCTCTCCATCACCATATCTAAGCCAATATGACACCAATCTATATGACAATTCGCGAATCAACTTGATTGGTGGTACACAACACACTCCCCGCCTCTCATCATGAGCCCATTACCGAGAACTACATATCAGATTTTTTAACAGGGTGGTTAGCAATTTATTTTTAAGAGTATTTATTGCACCTACCTAGCTCAAATTCTAGACGTCGGATTAAAACGAGACTATAGCATCCATAAAGTGACCATTGGACTGTAAAAATGCCGGATTTACTAAATTTGTAGGTGCAGCAGTTTTTATTAAATTGATAATTTATCTCACATGCTCATTTCTGTTCATTAAGAACCAATGATGTGCTACCTTTTTGTAGTATTTCTGACAATGCTAACATATTTTTTTCAGCTGAATCTCAGAGTTCTAACACCAGGTCGGTTGCTCGGCAACAACACAGCTACTTGCACCATGCTGCCAGTCAGAAGAAGTGTATGCTAACAATCCTAGGTTACTGTAGATAGCTAGCTATATGGTGGTATTCAAGCTGAGGTTAATAAATAAATGCAAACAGATACAGTGAGGGAAAAAAGTATTTGATCCCCTGCTGATTTTGTACGTTTGCCCACTGACAAAGACATGATCAGTCTATAATTTTAATGGTAGGTTTATTTGAACAGTGAGTGACAGAATAACAAAAAAAAAATCCAGAAAAATTAATGTAAAATTTTTTATAAATTGAGGGAAATAAGTATTTGACCCCTCTGCAATACATGACTTAGTACTTGGTGGCAAAACCCTTGTTGGCAATCACAGAGGTCAGACGTTTCTTGTAGTTGGCCACCAGGTTTGCACACATCTCAGGAGGGATTTTGTTTCACTCCTCTTTGCAGATCTTCTCCAAGTCATTAAGGTTTCGAGGCTGATGTTTGGCAACTCGAACCTTCAGCTCCCTCCACAGATTTCCTATGGGATTAAGGTCTGGAGACTGGCTAGGCAACTCCAGGACTTTAATGTGCTCCTTCTTGAACCACTCCTTTGTTGCCTTGGCCATGTGTTTTGGGTCATTGTCATGCTGGAATACCCATCCACGACCCATTTTCAATGCCCTGATGTTTCCACCTCCATGTTTGACGGTGGGGATGGTGTTCTTGGGGTCATAGGCAGCATTCCTCCTCCTCCAAACACGGCGAGTTGAGTTGATGCCAAAGAGCTCGATTTTGGTCTCATCTGACCACAACACTTTCACCCAGTTCTCCTCTGAATCATTCAGATGTTCATTGGCAAACTTCAGACAGGCCTGTATATGTGCTTTCTTGAGCAGGGGGACCTTGTGGGCGCTGCAGGATTTCAGTCCTTCACAGCGTAGTGTTTTACCAATTGTTTTCTTGGTGACTATGGTCCCAGCTGCCTTGAGATCATTGACAAGATCCTCCCGTGTAGTTCTGGGCTGATTCCTCACCGTTCTCATGATCATTGCAACTCCACGAGGTGAGATCTTGCATGGAGCCCCAGGCCGAGGGAGATTGACAGTTCTTTTGTGTTTCTTCCATTTGCGAATAATCACACCAACTGTTGTCACCTTCTCACCAAGCTGCTTGGTGATGGTCTTGTAGGCCATTCCAGCCTAGTGTAGGTCTACAATCTTGTCCCTGACATCCTTGGAGAGCTCTTTGGTCTTGGCCATGGTGGAGAGTTTGGAATCTGATTGATTGATTGCTTCTGTGGACAGGTGTCTTTTATACAGGTAACAAGCTGAGATTAGGAGCACTCCCTTTAAGAGTGCGCTCCTAATCTCAGCTCGTTACCTGTATAAAAGACACCTGGGAGCCAGAAATCTTTATGATTGAGAGGGGGTCAAATACTTATTTCCCTCATTAAAATGCAAATCAATTTATAACATTTTTGACATGCGTTTTTTCTCAATTTTGTTGTTGTTATTCTGTCTCTCACTGTTCAAATAAACCTACCATTAAAATTATAGACTGATCATTTCTTTGTCAGTGGGCAAACGTACAAAATCGGCAGGGGATCAAATACTTTTTTCCCTCACTGTATTTTGATTAGCTCGGTAGCTAGCTAGCAAACGTTACCTATCTAATGTTAGCTTGATTGTACAAATTCCAGCAGCTAGCTAGCTAAGAGCAGTCAGCTGAAATCTAGCTAGCTACTATAATGAACAGGCAAAAAAAGGTAGCTAGCTATATTTGTTTATGGAAGGTTTGTTACACAAATAACTTCAGCCATTAGCTAGCTAGTTAGAGCCAGACATCAACAGCTGAAGCCATCTAATGATAGCTAGTTCACGTCCAAATGACAGTCCTACATTTTTCCACAAAACATAGCTAGCTAGCGAACTTACATTAGTTCAAAACCAACACCAAACTTTTGACAAATTGTCACGCTGCTACCTTACTATGCATGCAATGGGCTTTTGCAACACTAGCTAGCTAGCTACTCCATAGCCCAGGCTACATTAGAGCTAGCCACATTTCACTATCAGACAGGACACACCTTTTTGCTAGCTCACAATAACATTAACAGCGCCTCTGCTCTGGCTCTGTTGTGCACTGACTGCAGTGTGCAAATGCATGCTTGCTAGCATCAGAAAAACTCACCAGTTTAACATCCATAATACATTCCAGTACGCTCCTTCTCCTGTCTTCTTGACATTTTAATCTACGTGTGCTGA